GTTTTTCCCCAATTAATATTGCAGAACCAGATGAGCAAACGGAAAGCCCTTGAAGATGGAGTCCAACTCCCCAACTTGTATGACCGTGGAAACTGAGGCCAGAGAGGGAAAGACTCTCCAAGTCCCGCAGCGAGGGGTGGCAGAGCTGGGACTGGTTCCCCGGGAGGCTGTGCCAATTACAGCCGCAGGTGTGCGAGGGTGGAGACGGGAAAGCGGAGATCCTGAATCAGATGTGAGCTGGAGTCCTAACTTGGCTGCGAGCTGGCGTATGACCTTGGGCAACTCATTTCCCTAAAGTCCGCTCTAAGTTGCTCATTGCACAAATCTCTCCTGTGGTTTATGAAGCCACCTGCCTTCCTCCTTCTCAGATCACTCCACTGGCTTTAATACAACTGCATGCTTTACAGTCTGTGGTCCTGGCAGGCCAGGGGCTTTGTCTGTCTGCTTATTCACTGTGGTGTCCCTATCACAGGGACAGGCACAGAGGTTCTCCATAGAGACTTAAGTGTACAAAGGTGCTCAATAATTTCTCTGTTGATTAACAGATTCCTTATTAGACATTAGGCACCCAGCATACTTTATCTGTTATGTTCAAACTAGTAAAAATTATATTGTAGACTTATTAGGCACTAGGCCCTATATGCATCACTTCACTTAAAAACTTTTCATTTGCTTTATGAGGAAGGATCATCGACTATGTCCATTTTACAGATGAGAACAATAGCTCAGAGAGGTAGAGTCCTCTTTGTCCAAACTCAAGGCTGGAGCATGACTTTGGATTGGACCCCAGACCTGCCTCGCTAAAGGACATTCCTCTGTTTTCTAAACAGCATTTATGAAAAAGAGAAAACCTTTCTGACATTCATGGGCAACTTTCCCAAGGCGTGAAGGTGCGGCGCGGGGGTGGCTGGCCTTGGGCCCGACACTCACACTGGTAGTACTCGGCGCTGCCACTCTGCAGTATGATGGCCAGCACCAGGGTGAGCTGCGGCGTCGTCTCCAGGAAGGTCTCAAAGAGTCGCAGCATGCTGATGTCCAGGGAGAGGAAGTCGGCGTAGGCCAGGTCGAACTCGGAGGGGACCTCCTGCCGCCACACCAGCAGCCCCTGATGCAGCCCCTGCACGCATCTAGGTAGCACATGTGATGCCCCAAGGGGCCCGGTTAGCATCCAGTGACATTCTTCCTTCCCTCCCCACTGAGCAGATGCAGACGGGCTCCAATCCTGGCTTGTCATGTACACACAATGGGACCTTGGGCAAGTGACTTAACCTCACTGAACTTGTTTCTTCATCTGTGAAATGGGGATAGATTACTGCTCCTGCTCCTGCAGTAGCCACCATTCCAAGCTCATCACTAACCTTGTCCCACTTCCTCCTTTACAACATCCCCGTTTTACAGATGGGGAAACAGGATCAAAGAGCGAATGAGCAGTGGAAACAGGATTTGGACTCCAAGCTATCTGAATTTGAAAGATGTACTATGAAAATGCCTAAAGTGATCCTTCTCAAATTTCAGCAAGCCTAAGAATTTCTTAGGATCCTGTGGGGAAGGGGAGCCATGGAGAGTTTCTGAGCACAGACAAGACAGGTCCTACTGTGCTATAGAAAGAGCACCCAGGAATCCATGGGAGAGGCCTGCCCAGAGTGATGGAAGCAGAGATGGGGCAGAGTTAACAGGGTCCAGAGAGGTCTTCCCTGGTGGTCCAGGGGCTAAGAATCCACCTGCCAATGCAGGGGATACAGGTTCGATACCTGGTCCCAGGGAAGATGCCACATGCCTTGGGGCAACTAAGCCCATGCCCTGCAATTACTGAAGCCTGTTTGCCTAGAGCCCATGCTCCACAAGAGAAGCCACTGCAATGAGAAGACTGTGCACCGCAACAAAGATCAGTCCCTGCTCGCTGCAACTAGAGAAAACCCACATAGCAAGGAAGGCCCAGCATAGCCAAAAATAAATAAAAAATTTTTAAATGAGAGAGATGGTCCAGAGGTTGGACAGACAGACCTGAGTGACCCGTTGGCCTAAGGGAACAGTGGAGGATGCACCAGGATCTCGCCTGCCCAGAACCGATCTCAGTTGGCTCTTGGGAGGTGAACCCACTCACTCATTTCGAATTCATTCATTAGACATTTACCCTCGCTTCCCCTGGATGGTCTTGACAACATGCTAAGAGAACAAACAGGCACACCCAGGTTGAGGGTTGTTCCTCAGTGCCCTGGCAGAGGCAGAGGCCTACACAGGCTGGCACAGAGACCCTGTTTTCTCAAGCAAAGCTCAATACAGTCTGTCCGACTCATGCTCAGCAAAAATAGAAGATATATGATGCAGTTATCGATTCAGGGCTCATTGCAGGATGCCAGGACTATAATATCTGTGCCCCTTCGTGTTCATTCGGGGTGTTATTGATGCCTGGCCAGTTTCTCAGGCGAAACTGCAATATTCAAAGCTCCTCCCGCCCACTCCTGGAGACTCAAGGCAAGATCTGGAAAGAATCTGTAACCATGGATTCCAGAGTGGGTCCTGGCTCCGTCCAGACCATCCCAACCCAGATCACATGGTGTCCTGAGTTTGTCGCATGACTCTGACCCCTTCGTTTCACTTTCCCCATCTCCAGATGGTCCTGCCACTTCTGAAAAGAAGCACAGCCCACACAGATTTTGCAGGCTTCCCCCGTTCCCCGCCCCCCCCAACCCCTGCATCCAAGCCCTGTCTGGCTCCAGGAACGTGCATGAGTCAGACCCCATCTCTGCCCTCTTGCTGGGTCCTGGGGGTGAGGGGGTGAGGTGGGGAGCAAGTGCTCATGGAGAAGGCAGCTGGGGAAGATAAGGCGAGGGACACTGGCCGTGAGGGACCAAGCGCTGCCCTGGGGGTCAGGGCTGCTCAGACTGCAAGGTGACCCAGCTAGCTGATCAGGAGGTGAGCTGACGCTGCTGCTCACCCTGCAGGGGCGCAATTCACAGGTCTTGTTCCACTTAGTCCTTACACTGGGAGCCTCTGGTACACTGAATAAACTGACATCTGGAGGGGAAACTAGGGGCTCCGCCCACAGCTAAAAAGAACTGCTGGGACCCGTGGCCAATAGAACAGAGTCCGCCCGACCAGGAGCTGCGCCCTTCACAGCGGGGTTTGCCCGCCACACCCACCTCCGGATGACAACCTCCTTTTAACAGAGGAGGGAACTGAGGCTCGGAAAAAGCCTGGAAGGAGGCCAGGAGTGGATCCCAAAGGGCCTGACTCCAGGTCGTGTGCCTCAGTTTCCTCTCTAGGTCCCCGTTTCTTCACTTGTGCCAGGAAGCTCGAGTGATGAGCTCTGAGGGCCGTCAGCCGGATTGATCCTTCATCAGGGGCCAGGAGTTCACCTGGTGGGAGAGGCGCCCTCTAAACTAGGAGGGGCTTAGTTTCCTCTCCTGGGTCGCAGTCCTTTCCTCTCCTGCCCCCGTGTCCCAGAGTCAGCCCAGCAGCAGGAGGTGACGTGACCTCCGTTCCCCCGTCTCTCTCCCCAGGGGCGGGGCGCTCACCTGTACAGGTAGCCCAGCTGGAGGAGATGCAACAGCGCCAGGTACCGGCCAGGGGGCTTCGGCGCGAGCGGGACGGAGACGTCGGAGCGCAGCCAGACCCAGCTGAAGAGCTGCAGCGCGACCGAGGCGAGGCCCAACAGCGCCAGCACCAGCGCGGCCCACAGGTAGCGACCGCTGAGCACATACTGGCTCGCGGCCCACACATCGGCGCCCAGGTCGATCAGGAAGGCGAGGGTGCCCAATATTCCAAGGACTAGGTCCCTTAAGAGGACGGCGCGGGGCGACCAGGGCATGACCCGCGAGCCTCTCCCCTCTCTATTCGTCTGGGCTCAGGCCCGCCCTCCCGGCCCAGGGTCGCACCCGGCCCAGACGCGCAGTGGCAGGAAGGAGGCGTGCACAGCCCTCGGGGCCGCCCAGGACCGGACCGCTGGGCGGGACTTCCCCGTCCCGCCCCGTCCGGGGAGGAGCGAGGCCCGCAGACCCCGCGGTTGGGTCACCCGCGGTCTCAGAGCTCTCTGGCCAGGCAGCCAACTCCCACCTCCAAGCCCCGCTGAGCCCAGAGGGCCCCAAGGACCGCTAGGCCCGAAGACGCACCGTCCGAGGTGCAATGTAGCAGGCTTGTTTTACCCTGGAGGCCCAAGGCGGAGAATGTGGCCCGCAGATGAGCGCCCGGGTTAGAACTGCGCTGTCTCACGTACACACTGTTGCAAAACCAAACGCCAAAGCCCGATCCGATCCCTGACTGTATACCTCGAGGCCGGGCCATGTGTCAGGGGAGACCGAGGGTCAACCAGGCGCATCTTCCTGGCATCTCATTTTACTCGGATTATCCGAATAGGAGGAGGGAAGGATGTTCAATAACGGGGCAAGGGAGTTACTTTTATAAACATGATTTATAAATTAACATGCATGACGAGCAGAGTGTTTTGGATAAAACATGAAACGTGAAAGAAATGTGCTGTGGGACCCTCGGGGCTTCATTTCCTGATCGGCTGCCCAGTCCCAGTTCATTCTGCTGTCGCGGGGAGGGGAAAGGGTGGAAGAGTCCAGCTCTCAGGGGTGATGCTGACTCCATTTTACCAAGGGCGTCGGCCGTTGGTTCCCCCAAGGTCAGGACAAGAGCAGTACGCGTAAGCCCAGCAGCGCCGCGGTCAGGAGCGCAAGGCAGGGCGCGGGCGCGACGCCGGGGGCGCGCAGGCAGGCCGCGTACCCGTCGAAGGCCACCTCGCGCAGCGCGCACACGTGCTCGGCGCGGCACGCTTCGTCGCAGGCGCGCGTGTCGTAACTGACCGAGTTGTAGACGTAGTAACGCTGCAACGCACCCTGGTCGCTAGCGATGCGGCCCAGCGCCGCATGCATGGAGCGGGCACCTGCGTCCGGCACCCCGTAGGCCTCGGTCACCCGGTACTCGAGCTCCCAGCTTGGCGCGCCCAGCGCGTTCGCCTGGCTCAGGTTCAAGAAGTAGGTCACCATGTCCTACAGAGGGGGCGCGAGGCGGGCGGGCCGTGAGCAGCTGTCCGCTTCCGCCCCCAACCCTCCATCTTGCATTTGATCCCTGATTCTAACAGCCGTAATCAGGACCACTCTTAGTCAGCTTGGCTGACATCATCTGGTCCAGACTCCGGAGGTAACTGTATTATCATCTCCATTTCACAGATGAGGAAACAGTCCTAAAGAGGTTAATTCATTTGGCCAGGGTCTCACAGGTCCCTGCGCAGATTGGAACCCAGGTTGTTTCCTCCATGGTCTGTGTATTTTCTGTTCAAGCAAATTCCTGGGTGCACAGAAGATTCTCAGTAAATATTTGCAGAAAGAACAGATAAAATGCAATCTAAAAGTAATGAAATGAAATGCCTGGCTGAGAGAGGTTGTAGAATTGTGTTTTGATGGGGGCTTGGGATGCACCCAAGACATCTAGAACTCAGGTGCATTTTCTGGACTAGAATGTGGAAGGGTTATCTGTCCAATACTTTCCACCTAAGTTTGAGGATCTGCTTCAGGTCAGGAGAGGTAGGGTAAGAGGGGCCGCCATGTATGGATGGCAACTTTCTGCTAGGCATCTGCATTACTTCATTTCACACCCACCTGCGGGCCAAGTGCCCATGTGGACAACAGACCATACTCTTAAAAATCCTCAGCCTGCTCCTCCTCGAGAGTGAAGGACCTAGTATCTCAGGCAGTCCCTGGTTTTAAATGGTCTTTCTCAACACCAAGGTTAAATCTCTGCACCCACCTCTTTCTGGAACTCCTATTTGAGCATTCAGCTGCCTCCTCCCTTGGCATTTTCACTTGGATGCCGTATAGACACCCCAAAGTTAACAGAAAAACCAAGTTTCTGATCTTCCCTCCAAAACCTGCTCCTCCCGCAGTGATCCCGTTTCAGTAAGTGGCAACCTCATCCTTCGAGGTGCTCCAGCCAAAGCCTTGGAGCCCTGTTGCCTCCTCACTTTCTCTTCCACCCCTCATCCAGTCCACCAGCAAATCCTGTCCACTCTGCCTTCAAAATACACCCAGGACTTCCTTGGTGGTCCAGTGGCTAAGACTCCGTGCTCCCAATTAAGGGTCCCTGGGTTTGATCCCTGGTCAGGGAACTAGATCCTACATGCTGCAGCTGAGAGTTTCTTCCATGCCCCAACTAGAGATCCTGCATGCCACAACTAAGACCTGACATAGCCAAATAATAAAATTAATACTTTTAAAAATAAATCCATCCAGGATCTAGCTCTCCTCATGACCTGCTGCAGCCACCCTGGCTCATAGCACTGTCACCTCTCCGTGGTTGTAGTCACCTCCTCACTGATCCCCCTGTTTCCATCCTTGCCCCCTACAGCCTGTTCTTCACCCAGAATAGTGATTTTTTTAAAAAATTCCAGAGTCAAAAAAAAAAAAAATTCCAGAGTCTTACTCACAGCCTATGTGACATGACCTCCACTGTGGCCCCGCAGGCCTTCTTGCCCCTCCCTGCCCAACACACCCAGTGCGTTCCTTCCTCCTCATTCCGCAGACACTCACGTGGCTCACTCCCTGATTTGACTCAGAGTTCAGATGTCACCCTATCAGTGACACTTCCTCACCCCATCTGTCTGACATATGCGCGTGCCCCGAAACTGCCACTGCCTCCTCTCTCTTTTCTCCTTAGCACTGATTTCGCGCCGCACTTAACTTTACTGTGTTTGTTTATTGCCTGCCTCCCTCCGGTAAGGATGTCGGCTCCGGGAGAGCGGTGCCTTTTGTTCACTTCTGTGTCCCCTGAGCTTAGCACAGGGCCTGGCACGTGGCAGGTGCTTAACACATTTTGTTGGCTACATTAAGGAATCGTACTCCTTTGTCGTCTCTGTAGTCACCAGCACATCCCAGCAGGTGTGCGATTGCTCGACGAGTAGGGGCCTGCTTGGCTGCAGCCCAGTCAGTGTAGGGAAGACATGGACAGTGGGCCTGCGGTCACACTGTGAGACTGTGACTGCCAGGCCAAAGAGATACAACTTGTCTGGGGGGCGCTGGGGAGCCACTGAAGGTTTTTGAGCAGGAGAGAGACAAGAAGTACTTAAGAAAGATTAATCTCTTCTGCTCAGCTGTACCAGATGAGCTCCAGCGGGGCTGGTGGGAGGCAGGGAGACCAAGCGGGAGACCCTGACCATGACTGGGGCAAAGGGAGATTTGGGGGAGAATTTACCTGACCTGGTGGCAAGATTTGGAGGTAGCTCCAGGGTTCTAATGCTGAACTCTCAAAAGGTGGAAGTAACTTGAACTTCCTGAGGCTTGGGTGGATTAGCTGGGGAAGGTGGTGATTCATTCAGGTCCCTCCCCCTCCTCCTGTGGCCCAAGCAGACCCAAGGCTCCTGACCTGCAGGCTCAGCGTAGCTCGGTCGTATTCAAACACCCGGATGCCTGGATTGTTGGCGCCGTTGACCACTCCAGGTAACGTGGTTTTCCACGGGGTGACCCCAGGTGTAAGGAACATGACACTGATGGGGGCACCTTCCAGGAGAGAGACAGTGGGACTGAGAGTTTGGTGACAGAGGGAGGGAAGTGGGCTGGCCACTGCCCTCCAGGGTGGGTACCTGCACTGTCATAGAACATCCGAAAGCTGTCGGTGTGGTGGTGCCCGAAGAACTGCCCTGCGATGACTCGATGATGCCTCTGGACCACCTTCAGGTACTCCTCATTGAAGCCCTCCCGAAACCACGCTTTGTTCCGTGTCTTCTCAAAGAAGCCCGGGGGCACGTGGCCGATGATGTACACCTATGAAGAAGGGGTACCCAGCGGGGGTTCAGAGCTGCTTTCCCCAGCTCATCTCCACCTCTCACAGTCTGCCCATCTCCCCAAAAGCAAACAACAGGCTCCAAGGTACCTCCTCCCCTTTCCCTCTCCCAGGTAATTCCCGCATCTCTCTGCACACAGCAGTGAAGGTGCCGCAGGCTTCCCACCTCTGTGCCTTTGTCCATACTATTCCTGCCACCCAGTCCACCCTTCTGTTCACTTCTGTAAATTCTGTTGTTGCTGTTTAGTCGCTCAGTCGTGTCCGGCTCTTTGTGACCCCATAGACTCTGTAGTCCCCCAGGCTTCTCTGTCCGTGGGATTGCCCAGGCAAGAGTCCTGGAGTGGGTTGCTATTTCCTCCTCTAGGGGGCCTTCCCGACCCAGGGAGCCAACCTGAGTCTCCTGCATTGGCAGGCGGATTCTTTACCATTGAGCCATCTGGGAAAGTGAAAGTGAAAGTTGCTTAGTCAAGTCTGACTCTTTGCAGCGCCATGGACTATAGAGTCCATGGAATTCTCCAGGGCAGAGTACTGGAGTGGGTTGCCATTCCCTTCTCCAGGGGCCGTCTGGGAAGCCCTCTGTAAATCCTCCCCATGCTTCAAAACCCTTCTCGTGAAATCCTCCTGATCCTTCAGATGAGTCTTCTCCTGTTGGAGAGCTCAGGCACTGTAACCAAAACTTCCTTAGATGGTTTGTAACGTCTGCTGTGTTGTAGTGGTAACATGTGTTCACATCTCACATTCATTGAGTCACTCAGCTGTAATGACAGTGCCTGGGCCCTTGGCCCCATTGCGAGAGGCAGAATGGTGGGGTGGGGCAGTGGTGGCTGGTAAGGAGGGCAGTGAAGAGTGTGAGCTTTGGAGACAAACCACCACTGGATACCAGATGAGTATCACCTCTCTGAGCTTCAGTTTTCTCATCAGGAGAGCTACCTAACTGGTGCGGTTTTGAGAGTTCATATATCCATATAAAGCACCTAGCAACTTATCTGATGTATAGTGAGGACTCAGAAGCACCAGCCATGAGATCCTGCCAGGATACACTGGCCAGAGTAGGGACTCAGGCAAATGAGACAGAAGGCCAGTCGTCGGGTGCTGCCAGCCCAGTGGACTAGAGGGACACACCTCACAGCAGACGAGATGGACACACCTCAAGGGCAAGGCATATCTCTGAGGTCTAGCCCGCACTGTGGCTGCAGCTATGCTGGACTTGGCTTCTGGAGCCTCGGGTTCCAGTCTCAGTGAGTGCGTTACAGTCTCTCGGGCGTGTCCAACTCTTTGCGACCCCACGGACTGTAGCCTGCCAGGCTCCTCTGTCCATGGAGTTCTCCAGGCAGGAATACTGGAGTGGGGAGCCATTTCCCACTCCAGGGGATCTCAGCCCCACCACTCACTGTGAGACTTGAGACCGTCACTGCCCCACCGGGAGCCTCACCGCACAATGGGTCCCAGCCTCACAGGCTGTTGTGAGGATGGAAGAAGCCCTCTCAGGTGCCAAGCTGATGAAGGACCCTCTGTGACATGAGCATCTTGAGTGAGTGGGTGTGAGTCTGTGCCGAAGCGGGGGACTCGTTCAGGAAGAGACCCCCGGGAAGGAGGAGAAGGAGCAGGGAGCCCTTACCATTTCCCCAGCCTGGGATGCACGGGTCAGCACGTCGTCCTGCCACTGGAACTGCTGGCTGGGGTCAGCCATGCCGGCCGTCTGCTCATTGTTGCTGTAGTACAGGTTGGTGTTGAGGACCACGATTCGCCCAGCCCCGCTCAGCCCCGGCAGTTTCTCAGAATAGAAGGCACCTAGGACATCACAGCCATGGGGGATCTGAAGGGGTCTCTTGCCTCCAAGCAGACACACCTCTGTCCCCTATTACTTCACTTGCCCATCTTCTCCTTCCTTGGCATCCCCACTTCCCATCTTTCCCACAGGATGAGCATCGTGGGTAGGACCAAAGGCTCTGGAGCCAGGCTGCCTGGGTTCAAGTCCTGGTTCTATCCCTTACTACCTGTGCCACTTGGGGAAAGTTCCTTAAGGTCTCGATGCCTCAGTTTCCTCCTCCATAGAATGGGAATAACATGGAGGTGTGTTTATCCCTCTGGATTCACTGTCAGCCCTTCTGCACTTAGCTCTCTGCCCCAGGAGCAGTGGATTAAATCAATGGGCTTCTGTGCTATTGAGGAAAGGAATGAGAGGAGGTCAGGTCCCCTTGGGATGCTGTGTCCCCCAAATCAGTGATCCTCAAACTGGTGATTTTGTCCCCAAGGGAACACTTGGCAATGTCTGGAGACATTTTTGGTTTTCACAATGGGAGATGTTACTTGCAACTAGTGGATAAAGGCCAGCAATGCTGCTGAACACCCTACAATGTACAGGACACCCCCCCCCCCACAAAGAATTACCCTGCCCCATATGTCAACAGTGGCAAAATTCAGAAACCTGGCTTGAAATGAAGGTCACTGCCCCTACAAAGGTTGTTGTGAGGAATCTAGCAGTGGACAGGGCAGTGCCAGGCACACAGAAAAATGCTCGAGGAATATTCACTTCTGATTCTGATTAGTGCTGTGTGGTTAAGAAGATGGGCATTGGGATCAGCCCTGGATCCTGCTCCTGAGGTTGCCTCTTCTTGTTGCCCTAATGGTCCGGGAGCGACAAGAATGAAGACAGAACACGAAATCTGGGGCAATGGGTCAGGGGACCTGCAGCCTCTATTGGACTGAGGTGCAGAGTCCACTCTGAGTTCAGCTTTTATTCCTAACTGCAGACTGCAAGACTTTCTCAGATCTTATCTTTCTCGACACATGCCATATCAGTTGAAAGTGAAAGAAAGTGAAGTCACTCAGTTATGTCCGATTCTTTGTGACCCCATGAACTATAGCCTACCAGGCTTCTCCATCTGTCCATGGGATTTTCCAGGCAAGAGTACTGGGGTGGGTTGCCATTTCCTTCTCCAGTATCAGTTACATACACCTAAATATCATGGACTACACTGACATAGACCAGATCTCCTTGTGTTTACCCTGGGCCGTTCACTCCCTTCTGGGCTAGTCTTGGGAACAACAAGTGCATAGGCAGAGTTCATGCCTGATGGCGACCCAGCGTTCCAAGGTCCATGCTTTTATGATCCCAGTCACAATCCCTTCTGGGTCTGGCCCTGGGGTTTCTAACAAGGCTATAATTCTAAGAAAGACATGAAAAATAATCATCAATATAGTTTCTTAATATATGCTATTTTTCCAGGTGCTATTTCTGTGAAATTTCTCAAGGCGGTGAGAGCACATTGTTAGGAATTCCTACTACATCCTCTCAGCTAGGTGACCTTGGCCAAGTGACTTGGTATATTCAAGCCTCAGTCTCCTAATCTATAAAATGGAGATAAAATCAGTTCCTATTTCATGGGGATGTTGTGAAAATGAAATTAGATCAGACTTTGGTATAAAGGGCTCCTTATAGTAGCAAATGATGTTAGTACCTTCTTTGAAGAAAGTGATGGATTCGTTACTGAGCCAGGGTCGCCACAGCTCTGCTACCTGGTTATAGATATTGTTGCTCCCTGCGGGTAATTGGTTTTTGGGATGAAAGTCATGATTTCCCAAAGCAGCGTAGACTTTAGTATCTGGGAGGAAAAAAAGAAATATAAAAATATATGGGGGACTTTCCTGGTGGTCCAGTGGCTAAGATTCCACGCTCCCAGTGCAGAAGGCATTCGATCTCTGGTCAGGGACCTAGATTTCACATACTGCAACTAAAAAAAATCCTTCATGCTGCAACTTAAGTTCCCACATTCTGCGATGAAGATCAAAGATCCCACATGCTGCAACTAAGACCTAACACAGCCAAGTAAAATCTGGAAACGCTGAGCTTTGCCAAAGGAGGAGGTCATAAAATTCCCATGAGGAATTGTGCACAAAGCCAGAAGTCATGACTATAACTGCCTGGGGAGAAAACCTCCTCTGTAATATAGATGCAAGCAGACATAAGAATTCATTTAAGAGAAAACAGATCCCTGGAATCCCAAAGACAGATGAGAAGGGAGAGACCCTCTCCCAGGTTATAATCAGATAAGGCTGGGGGTCTCCAGAGAAACAGGACCAGACTTGGCTTTCTTGACCTAAGAGAAGCTATTTTTGCCCTAAGCCATTTTGGGATCTAAGCCTGGCCACAAGACTTGCCCTTGAAGAGATCTCAGTAATAAAGATCTTAAGGGAACAAAAGGACAGACACCGTTATCAGGGAAGAGAAGAAAAAAGTGAAAGTGAAGTTGCTCAGTCATGTCTGACTCTTTGCGACCCCGTGGACTGTAGCCTACCAGGCTCCTCCATCCATAGGATTCTCCAGGCAAGAATACTGAAGTGGATTACCATTTCCTTCTCCAAATAAAACCATTCCTATTAACAGAAAAAAAAAATACTTAAAAGGTGTTTAACTCTCTACTTTCAAAATAGGTTGTATACTTTTACACATCTAAAAGGCTAGATGTTTCAAATAAGGATTTAAGTTTGTCCACTATACATACACATAGTAGCACTGAACCCACTTCGTACAATGGTTATAGTCTCAAAGTATCATCTAAACAGGAACACTCTAGCCAAGGACCCTTCCTCTTCTCTATCAACCCAGTGGACAAGTCTAATAAGCATCTATAATGCTTAGAGGGGATTTTAACAATTTCACTTCTGCTAGTTGTTTTCAGAAGTCTTGCCTATGAATTTTAACATCAAGTGTACACAATGTATTTATTGGTTATTTTTGTCATACACTGGCAACCTCTTTAACATCTAGGAAGATTAGATATTGTAAATTTGGACGTTTGTCCCTTATGTACACTATATACACAACTAAGTAAACCAAAATGCAGACACATACAGGACAATGGTTAACCTTGCCTAACATAAACATACTGGTATAATCCCCCTTGTACTTTCTCCCTGAACCAGCACAAATAAAGTAATACGTACTGCTCTGAGGGGTGGTTTGATCATTCTGATCATTCCATTTCTAAATGAGTATTTCATATGAAACTTAACAAAAGGATATATCTACAAAATGTTATTTCATTACCTCTACTTTTAACATACTTTGTGCACTTCTAAACATCTAGAAAGACTAGATGTTTCAAATAAGGACTTAAGTTTGTCCACTATATACACAGTAGTGTTGAATAAACTACACACATGTAACAGTGGTTATACCTGAAGGTATCTTCTACAAAGGAACATTCTGGTCTAGAACCTTTCATTCTAGAGAATGAGAAGAAGAAACAAGAGCAAGATAATGAATCAGTTGTAAAGACTTTTAGTTCTGCTTCAAAGGTAAAGACTAGCCTGAAGCACTTTCTTGAGCTATTTTACAGAATTTAACCCCTGCAATCTCAAAAACCACAGAATGATCTCTGTTCGTGTCCAGGGCAAACCATTCAATATCACAGTAATCCAAGTCTATGCCCCGACCAGTAATGCTGAAGAAGCTGAAGTTGAACAGTTCTGTGAAGACCTACGAGACCTTTTAGAACTAACACCCAAAAAAGATGTCCTTTTCATTATAAGGGACTAGAATGCAAAAGTAGGAAGTCAAGAAACACCTGGAGTAACAGGCAAATTTGGCCTTGGAGTACAGAATGAAGCAGGGCAAAGGCTAATAGAGTTTGCCAAGAGAACACACCGGTCATAGCAAACACCCTCTTCCAACAACACAAGAGAAGACTCTACACATGGACATCACCAGATGGTCAACACCAAAATCAGATTGATTACAGTCTTTGCAGCCGAAGATGGAGAAGCTCTATACAGTCAGCAAAAACAAGACCAGGAGCTGGCTGTGGCTCAGGTCATGAACTCCTTATTGCCAAATTCAGACTTAAATTGAAGAAAGTGGGGAAAACCACTAGACCATACAGGTATGACCTAAATCAAATCCTTTATGATTATATAGTGGAAGTCAGAAATAGATTTAAGGGACTAGATCTGATAGACAGAGTGCCTGATGAACAATGGACTCAGGTTCTTGACATTGCATAGGAGACAGGGATCAAGACCATCCCCAAGAAAAAGAAATGCAAAAAAGCAAAATGGCTGTCTGAGGAGGCCTTACAAATAGCTGTGAAAAGAAGAGAAGTGAAAAGCAAAGGAGAAAAGGAAAGATAT